AGGCCCCTGACCGGAGCCCCTTCTGGGCGGGGTGCCGCCTTCCCCCGGGTGAGGGGCTGCGAGCCCCCAGGACAGGGACCGCGGGCGGGCGCCCCGCGACATGCGCCCAGCGCGGGTGCCGCGGCTGCTCCTCGGAGACGGGGCGGGGATGAGCCCCCTGGACTGGGGACGCCGCTCACAGTTGGCGCCTCGGCGAGTCTCCACCAGTTTGCATGTAGTGCTCCCGTCCTAGTGAAAAGCCCCGAAGCCTCAGGCTGGGGAGGCAGGGCTGGCCCCGTGTCGCCCACCGGCCTCGGCGCCCACCCTGTGTCTGGGTGTCTGCCCCTGGCTTTGCGGCTGGATCCAGACCCTGGGCTTCAGGGGCGGGCTCCTGCTGTCACTCGCACCTCGGGGTGGGTATGGTGTGGCCGCTTAGCTACCTTTGGTCTCAGGTACCTGCCTGGCCCCGTCTTGGTGACACCCCTTAAACTCCCACTTTCTCGGTGTGGTTAACGACCTCGCAGTGTGGGCGGGGCAAGCGCCCCTTCTTCTAAGTCTAGTACCTGCCCCTCGGTTCAGGGGCTGTCACCTCCGCCAAGGGTAGTTAGTGCTTCGGCCCTTTTGGTCCCGGTTTTCTGACACCTTCCTCCCCTGCCCTCGCCATGTAGGTTGTCATTTCCCCGGGTCTCAGGCTCGTAACCCGGTTCACATCAGTCCTTCCCTTGGGGTGTAGTCTTTCCCAGACGCAAGGATCCCCCCTCTGTGCTCTTGTAAAGCCCCTGGCTGTGGGCGTGTAAGCTTCCCGGCTATGAGGAGCCCCTCTTGGTGTCAGCAGCCCCAGATGCGGGGTTCACACTCACCCACAGCCATGCTGCTGGAGCCCCAGGAGGATAAGGCTCCCTGGAGCTGTGAGGTGTGGGCTTTTGGGGCTAGGCTGTGCTCTTTCTCCAGAGTAAGGAATCTTTATGGAGTTGCCTCCCCCAGGGGTCGGCTCCCTGTCTTCCTTGGTATTGGCCCCTCTGTGCCTGTCCCTGCTGTGGGGCTAAGGACCCTCTCAGGTGTAGGTGCCCAGGGCTAGTGCTTCTGCCCTGCCATGATGTCTCCACAGGGGACTGATGCTCCTGCCCTCTATCCTGAGGCACAGGTTCCTTGCTGTGGGGTGGAAGGTGCCTGAGACTGGAGGGGGAGACCCCACTGTCTGTTGTCACTTTCCTTAGGACTAAAGATTCCTCTGGTGTACCCTTTCTCAGGTGGGATCCCCAGGACCTAACACACCTACCTACGGTGCAGAGGCTCGGGTCCTGTGTGGCAGCGCAGCAGCCTCCCAACATTACTCCCCAGGAGGCTGGAGCCCTCAGGGAGGGACCGCTTGGTGTTAGTCCCAGGACTCAGCCTTCTCCTCCTGCCCTACTCCTCTCAGGCCTTGGTGTGGTAGTGTCACCCCCACTCCCCTGCTGAAGTTTTGGGCACTCTTAGTTTGGGCCCTTTGTTTCGTGAGTGTTGGCTCTTGGGGTCTGGCGCACGGCTCGCCCACCCACCCTCGGTGTAGGCTCCTTAATTGTGGTGTGTGTCCTCTTGGACAAAGGACTCCCTTTGGTTAAGTCTCCTGGGCCAAGCTTCCCAGGTTCCTTGGCGCTGTTTGAGACCCCTTGCTGTCTGGGAGCAGGCATGCTGCTGGGGAGGACCTTGATGGATCCTCCAGAGCAGTGGGGCTCTCCTGTGGTGGCATCTCCACTTGAAGACTCAAGCTCCAGCTTCCTTTCTCTCTGATCCTTTACTGGGGGATCTAAAGTACCGGCACCCTCGATGAGGGGTTTTCTTTGCAGGGAGGGGTGTTGCCTCCTTTGTGGCTGAGGCTCCTGCCCTCTGTAGTGCCCAGTCTCTAGGGCACAGGTATCCTTAGCCTGTGGTGCCTGCCCTTCTCTGGAGGCACTGCCTTCTACATCACGCAATGTCCTGTGTGGGTCTCAGCTATGCCACTTTGAGGTTCTCTCTGAAACATCACCTCCCTGGGCTAGGACTCTTATTCCCCTGGCACCTTCTGACTCCTTCAGGACTTCTTGCTGCTACGGGCTGTCCCCCTCTCTGGGGGGGATCAACTCCCCTGGGCCAGCCATCCCAACCCCTCAGCCTGGGGACTTGGAGAAGGCACCCCCTCATGAAGTAGTGCAGTGCCTTGTTTAGGGGCATAAACAGGGGGTCCTGTCCCTTGGGGCGGAGGTAGGGAGCACATACTCTTGTGTGACATTCCTGTCCCCTCATCCCACCCCCAGGCAGCAAGAGGCTTTTCTGGATCAGGGTGTTAGAGCTAAGACTCATCCCTGCAACCTCAGTGTTGGGGTCTGGGCCCTCATATATACTTCTTATGTTGAGTCTCCTCTCTTCAACTATCTCCTGGGTCCTTTTTCTGGCTGCTTCGCCTTCCTGGAGCTGGTATTTCCCTTGGGCCAGGCTTGGGCCTCACCTTGGCATGTCAGCTGGCCCTGGGCTGCGAGTGTTGCCAGTTTTCTTGCTTGGCTTGTTGCAGAAGAGATTTGCCACACCCACCTACCACCATGCAGAGTGGGTCCCTGTGGAAGGACCAGTGCAGCCTCTTTGAGGTTGAGGGACCTGCCCTGTCTTTATGGGCCTCTGTCCTGTTCAAAGCCTGCTCTCTGGTAGAGGCCCCCTCTCTGGGGGGCAACCTCGCATAACCCTCCCTTTTAGAGATCCTGATCTCCCCTGGTCTTTATGTCGGCCCAAAGGTGTAGCTCCCCCTCCCCCAGGCAAAAGCTCCTGGTGACTCTCTTGGGACCTCAGTTCCCTCTTGGTCACCTGTAACTCCCTTAGGGTGAAGATGCCCCTCTGTGAGTGCTGGGTGCTTGCCCTGACGGTTTGTGTTTCCGAGTCTACATTACCGGTGCTCTGATATGTAACTCCTTCGTACGTGCAGATAGCTCCTTTCAGCGAAGGTCCCCTTTCACCCTCTCGTCTTCTGAAGAGTTTTCTCCTCCCAGCCTCTCGAGTCATGCCACCTGCCCCCAGACATCCAGCCCTTCTTGGTATCCACCCCTTTGGGTTTGGGGTATTATCTCCTTTGATTTCAGGGTTTGCTCCGGGATAAACTTTTTCACGTTCTAAGGCTCTCTCTACTTGGGACCCAGCCCTGTCAGTTTGGGTGGGTTTAGCTCTTCAAACTTATAGGCATTTCTATCCCCTACCTCCTCTCTGTCCCTTACAGTTCACACACCCCCAATATCAGACCCTTCTTTGGGAGGTGCACCTATTTTTTGTCTCCTTACTTGGCTGAGAGTAGCCTCTTAGGTGTTAGGATCTAGTCACCTGTATCCTCTACCCCTCGATAGAAAGTGAGGTCTCCACGTCTCGTACCTTCGTCCCTAGCAGTCAGCTGTGTGCTGCATGGCTTTCTCCTGCTCTGATTAATCCTTTTTTGAGTGCCCCATGCTCTAGGAATTTTCCATTTCCTAGGTCAGACGTACACAAAAAGTGTATCTATTTTCTCATTTCAACAAAGTTCCAGAGTGTTGTTAGCCAGACCCAGTGCTGGGCAATCAAGGCAGCAATCAAGGGCCAGGTCCTTGTCATCAGAGTAGATGCATCTTCCCTGTACCATCCTGTGCACCCACCTCTTCCCAGCCTCTTTCTTGTCTCTGTGTTTGCACCAGCCAGAGAATGAATGTGCATTCCTTCCCCATCTCTCCCAGCAGCGTCCGTCTCCAAGAGAGTATGAAGAGAGTGCGTCTGTAGGGCAGGGAAGATGGCGGACAAGCGAAAACTCCAAGGTACTTGGTGACTGCCCACTGCCTGTGCCATGTGCCCTCAGAACTCCTCTTTGGGTGCCTGCTGCCTCGGCAGGTGCTCACTGCCTTCCTTCCTTCCTGGCCAGGTGAGATTGATCGCTGCCTCAAGAAGGTGTCCGAGGGCGTTGAGCAGTTTGAAGACATTTGGCAGAAGGTACAGGGTCTGGACCCTAAGAAACTGGGTCTCCAGGGAGGAGGTTCAGGGTGTCTGGTGTAGACCAGGGAGAGGGGATGCTGAGGACCTCAGGGAAGCAGCCTGTAGATAGATTGTGGGGTGTCCCCAGAGTCCTCAGCACACACAAACGGGCACTAGGGCAGCCAGCCCCACACTGATGTGCATTCTCTCCACCCTCAGCTCCACAATGCAGCCAACGCGAACCAGAAAGAAAAGTATGAGGCTGACCTAAAGAAGGAGATTAAGAAGCTTCAAGTGAGGGGCTGGGGGCCTGGACACCTGTGTCCTGAGGGTGGCAGGATGGGGAGAGTGGACTATTGGGTCCCAGGGAGAGGAGGGCTGAAGGCCTCAGTGCCTGGGACCTGAGGCAGTCTGACTGTCTTGCTTTTCCCTTCAGCGGCTGAGGGACCAGATCAAGACATGGGTAGCGTCCAACGAGATCAAGGACAAGAGGCAGCTCATAGACAACCGCAAACTCATTGAGACGGTAGGAGCCCAGGGCCTGGCATCTGAGAGGTGGGAGGGCCCCCGGAGGTCCTGAAAAGATAAGGCCTCTGCACTAAAGGAAGGGGACAGGCATCAGGCTGGAAGCCCTTTGCCAACTGCACTCTCCACAGCAAATGGAACGGTTCAAAGTTGTGGAGCGAGAGACCAAAACCAAAGCCTACAGTAAGGAGGGCCTGGGCCTGGCGCAGAAGGTGGACCCCGCCCAGAAGGAGAAGGAGGAGGTTGGCCAGTGGCTCACGGTGAGTCGGGCAGAGAAGGGGAGGTAACCTTGGGGCCCTGACACCCTGGCATCTAAGGGGATGCTGGCTGACCCTCTGCCTTTCCTTCCTTATTCCCTAGAACACAATCGACACCCTAAACATGCAGGTGGACCAGTTTGAGAGCGAAGTGGAGTCACTGTCAGTGCAGACACGCAAGAAGAAGGGTGACAAGGATGTGAGTGGGGCCGGCACCCATAGGGTCAGGTGGGCTGGCTGGTGGGCTCAGGGGTCCAGTGGCGGGGTTGGAGGACACGGCTGACTTGGGCTGGTGCAGGGAGGAGGTGAGGCAGTCTTGGGTCCTGTCTAGGTGAATGGTGGGGACGTCAAGGAGAAGGAGCAGTTTCAGGAGAAGGTGCAGAGTTCTTCCAGCTCACAGAGTATGTGTGAGACCCAGTGGACACCCAGGGAGGGAGGTCCAGCAGCTGAAGCTGTGGCCTCATAGCACTTAGAGGGCCCCTGGTCCTAAGAAGAGGACAGTGGGTACAGATAAGGCGGGACCTGAAAAAACAGTTCATTTGGCCAGAGGAGAAGTGAGGTCTGGGACAAAGCCAGATGTTCGGTACTCCAATCCCCAAAATGCAGCAGGTTTTGAGTAGGTTGTAGGCTGTAGATTGTGAGTTCACAAGGCTGCACACCATGTACTTGTTGGCACAGGAAATACAGGGAACAGAGTTGGGTCCTCAGGAAACTGGCACTCAGGGGGATGGCCTGGGGAGAGGGAGGTATGCCAGAAATGGGCGTCTGAGCCTGAGGGCTCTGGGAACCCGGCTTGAAGGGGATATAGAGTCACCTGCTGAGTAATGTTTGGTTCACGACAGACTGTAAAAGATGGTGGTCCCGTGAGATTGTAATGGGTTATAAGCAAAAAGTTTGCTGTGATATTTAAAGGAAAGGCTGCATCTGACTTCAATGTTGAACTTACTGCCTGAGCCAGGTGGTTTAAATGAGCATGCTGTTTTCCTGCCCTGTGTGGGGAGTGGGCTCGGGAGGAGGGGCTCCCGGGAGCCTGTCCCCTGCCTGCACCTGCACACGCAGGCACACACTTGTGTATACACACTTCCCTTTGCTCCTGGTTCTTTTTCTTCCTTTATATTGTTTCTCATCTCCAGCTTTGTCTCTCTGGGTCTTTAGATTCCTTCTTTCCCCGTCTTTTCCTCCTTCCGTTCTAATATCTACCCGCCTCCATCCACAGCGCTCCCCCTGCACCTCCAATACATGCACACACACGCACACGCACACTTGATTGTTTTCTGGATATGTTTAGGTACACGAATGTCTTCGTGGTGTTACAGTTGGTACAGTACTTAGTACAGCGATGTGCTGTACAGTTGCTCGCCTTGGGGCACTAGGCTGTACCAGGCAGCCTGGATGTGTAGTAGGTCATACGTTCCTGGTCTAGGCAAATGCCTCTGTGATGGTCACACAACAGCAAAGTTTCCTGACGACACATTTCTCAGAACAGGTCCCTGTTGTTGAGTGATGCGTGGGGTTAAAACTGGGCCTGAGGTGTCAAATCCTAAAGGGAATTGGGGCCTTGAGAGGAGTAGGTACCTGAAGTGACTAGGAGCCAGGCTTCAGAATCTGGGCTCCTTAGGGAGACACAGCTAGGGTGGGGGGCATGGCCATGATGAGGGCTGTGATGATTGTAAACTGCAAACTCCCTTGAGTGAGGTCACCATTATTATTTTCAGAGCTAGACAGGGGGTGAGTGTGTGTTTCTGTATCCCAGAAGGTAGTCGAGCCACCAGGGGGCTCAACAGAGGTAGGAGGTCGAGGCAGTCACAGGAGGCAAATGGGGGGGAGGCCAAGGGGTTGGGAGGCACAGGGATCCCTGAGTCCTCTCCAGGTTTGCTGGGACATCTAGGGCAGCTGTGGGATCCCTGAGTGGTCAGGGCGGGCAGACTCCACACTGTCCCCACCGGGAGGGCCCTGAGTGGAGCCTCTGGTGTGCAGGGGGTCGGGGACTGAGGATGGGTTCTGTGGGGCAGGAGGGTCGGGCGGCGCCCTGCAGCCCCTGAGCCTGGCCCTGGGCTCGCCAGCAGAAGCAGGACCGGATTGAGGGCCTAAAGCGGCACATCGAGAAGCACCGCTACCACGTGCGCATGCTGGAGACCATTCTGCGCATGCTGGACAATGACTCCATCCTGGTGGACGCCATCCGCAAGATCAAGGACGATGTGGAGTACTACGTCGACTCCTCCCAGGACCCCGACTTTGAGGAGAATGAGTTCCTCTATGACGACCTGGACCTCGAGGACATTCGTGAGGCCCAGGGGTGACCTGCGTGTGCAGGGCGGTGGGGGCTGGGCAGGAGGGCATCCCAGCCAGCTCAGTACGCCCCTCCCCTGCCCCAACAGCACAGGCGCTGGTCGCCACCTCCCCCCCCAGCCACAGTCACATGGAGGATGAGATCTTCAACCAGTCAAGCAGCACACCCACCTCTACCACCTCCAGCTCGCCCATCCCACCTAGCCCGGCCAACTGCACCACGGTGAGGCCCAGGGTCCCAGCCTGAGGACATGGAGGCTAGGTCTCAGAAACGGCCTGTGGGAGGGTGATGGGGGAAGTGAGGACCTCAGCCTCCAGGGTCTGGGCCCTAGAGGTCACATAGGTTTCTGATTGTGCCTCTCCCACTCCAGGAAAACTCTGAAGATGACAAGAAGAGGGGACGCTCGACAGATAGTGAAGTCAGCCAGGTGGGTCTGATGGGCATGTCACTTGCTCATTCGTTAGTTCCCAAAGGTGTACTGAGGCCTGAGTATGGCTACAGTGCAGGGCTTCAGGAACAGGCAGCCCTGAGGGAGGCCTGAGGGGCAGGCAGATCAGTGCTGTGGTCCAGGGGTGGCCCAGGGCACCGCCCCCAGCCTAGGTGGTCAGAAGCTGTTCTGGAGGGGCATATCTGCCCTGGGTGTTAGAGGAAGACGAGCTTGCCCAGTGGGGCAAGGTGGACATTCCTGGGCGAGGTGTAGTGGCAGGTAACACAGGCGAGTCGTCAGTGAAAGCCAAACGTGTCATAAGGTGAGCCTGGCCAGGTGTGTGGGGCTGGCTGTGAGCGCAGGGCCTAGGATGGTCAGGCTGAGGGTCAGACCCTGTGTGCCGCTCCGAAAGGGCCCAACCAGCATGAGACATGCTAGGTCAAGTCAGGCAGGTTTCCTTTCTTTGGGAGGTTCTCGGTCTTTGGCTGCACTGTGATGGATCTTGTGAGTTTCCCAGAGGTGTAGCGCTTATTAGAATTTCTTCTTCCCCCTTGTGAACCTCGTGAATCATTAGCACCTCTCAGGATGGGAGCACACCTTGGGAAACGCTGCTTAAGGTGTTATCTTTAGGCAGGTGTGGAGCAGACCTGAAGGCCCTCTATGGGCTGATGAGAGGGCCGGTCCCTGGGCCCCTGAGGTGGGAGGTGGTGAGGCTGGTGTGGGACCCTGGTGAGCAGGCGCGGTGCCAGGCAGGAGTCAGCCATGAGTCCCGCTTGAAGTGGGTGAGCCCGAGGTGCCTATGGGGCATCAGGATGGCAGACCAAGGTGGCCAAGAGCGATTTTCTTCCAGCAGCTCCACCTCGGGTGCTGTGGGCATGTTACTGGCCTGCTTTCTGGGGTGTTGCTCATTAACACCCACCATGCTTTAGTGACCCTTTATGTGATGTTTGGAATTATTGTCTAGTGTTCAGCTTTCTTTTTTCTTTTGGACTCTGGGCTGATTCCATCTAACCTCAGACTGAAGCTATTTAGGGGTTCCCACTACACCCCTGTTGTGGACATAGGGTTTCTCCTGCTGAAACCTCAGCTGTGTGTCAGATCCCTCTGGCTGAGGGGACATTGTGGGGACTTGTTCAGGCAGGATGGGAAACACTGGGTTGGGTTAGGGGTGCATCAGTGTTTTAAGCATGAAGGTGGCGATTGAAGCCATGAGGGTGAAGTCAGCTGGGCCCCAGGAAGGGTGTACAGGAGGCTCGGCATCCCTGCTAGCCCTCTGGGTCCTGACCTTCTTCTCTCTCCCACCTGCAGTCTCCAGCCAAAAACGGCTCCAAGCCAGTCCACAGCAGCCAGCACCCTCAATCCCCAGCTGTGCCTCCCAGCTACCCACCCGGCCCCCCACCTGCCACCTCTGCCCTGAGCACCACCCCTGGCAACAATGGGGCCCCCGCCCCAGCAGCACCTCCAAGTGCCCTGGGTCCCAAGGCCAGCCCAGCTCCCAGCCACAACTCGGGCACCCCAGCCCCCTATGCCCAGGCTGTGGCCCCACCAGCCTCCAGTGGGCCCAGCGCCACCCAGCCCCGGCCCCCCAGCGTCCAGCCCGGTGGGGGAGGTGGGGGAGGCAGCAGCAGCAGTAACAGCAGTGGAGGTGGAGGTGCCGGCAAACAAAACGGTGCCACCAGTAAGTGGAGGGGCAACTGGGGGGCAGGGGGTCCTGGGGTAGCCATTGGTGGCCCCTTTCATCTCCTCTTCCTTTCCCCAGGTTACAGCTCAGTCGTGGCAGACAGCCCAGCAGAGGTGGCTCTCAGCAGCAGTGGGGGCAGCAACGCCAGCAGCCAGGCTCTGGGCCCCCCATCTGGCCCCCACAACCCACCCACCAGCACCTCGTGAGTGTCTGGCCTCCACAGGGTTGGGGACAGGCTGTGTCTGGCACACACAGTCACAGGGAACCCCTCTCTGGCCAGTCACGCAGACAGGCCCTGCCCTGCTGAGTGGGACTCCCCCATGAGCTGTATTCCACCTCTTTCCATCTAGGACGCTGTGCCCTTTGCAGTGTACAGCATCCCTCATTTGATTGGGGTTGTTCTCAGCCCCACACACCCCCTTGGGCACTCTGACTTCCACTTTCCCAGAAGAGCTCTTATTTGGCCCCCGCCCCCCATTTTCTGTTCCCTGCCCCAGGGTCCCCTGACTCCATGAAGGGCTCCATGTCTGCTTTTCAGAGTGAAAGACTCCATGAAGGGCTCCATGTCTGCTTTTCAGAGTGAAAGACCCCAAAGCCCTCCTCCCAGTCCCAGACCACCCCCTACTGGGTCCCCGATGCCCGGAACAATGACCCACAAGAGAGCTTACCCTCATGGTTGGGACCTAGGAAAGGCCTGCTCCCAGACACCTCAGTCCTCGCTCTGGGTGGGCTCCCAAGGGGAGGGCACCTGCTGAGGCATCCTGTTTTGTGTTTGGAACATCGCTCTCACACCTTCCTCCATGGACTATTCCAGAAGGCTGACCTGTTTCCTAGTAAATTTCAGCTACATGGTTCCTTGGAGCATCCGGAGTCCTCTTTCCCACCTCACAGCTCTTTTTTTGCCCAGAGTCCTTCCCTACCATCTGTGTCCCTTGTGGATCCTGTCTGCTGGCCTTCTCTCTGTTTTGACCCCTTCCCTTTATCACCCTTCCTGTCCATCTCACCCTTGAGGACACTCCTATGAGCCCACTCTTGTCCCCTTTCCAGGAAGGAACCCAGTACAGCTGCCCCAGCAGGTGCTGGGGGTGTGGCCCCAGGCTCAGGGAACAACGCTGGGGGACCCAGCCTTCTGGTGCCACTTCCTGTGAACCCTCCCAGTTCCCCGACACCCAACTTCAGTGATGCCAAGGCAGCTGGCACCCTCCTCAACGGACCCCCGCAGTTCAGTGCCGCCCCAGAGATCAAGGTGGGTGTAGAGCCTGTGTGTCCTGCCCCTGCCAGCCTTGCCCCAGACCTTCACTCACCCTCCTTCCCCCCACCTCCACTCCTCACACTCTTGTCACTGGCTTTCTTTCTGGTCTTTCCCTGCCGCCCACACCCTCACCTTGTCTCTGAGTCTCTCCATCATACCCCACCTGTCTCCTTCCCTGGGCCTTCCCCTGGCTCCTGGTGGTCCTTGCTCACCTGCTGTCTGCTCTCTGGGTGCCCACTGCCACCTCTCCCTCTAGTTCTATGTTTCCATTTTCCTAAGACGCATTGTACTTTGTTCATACAAACCACTGCCCAGCTCACTGCCCTCCTGTCCCCTTGAAGAAGTCATCTAAGTTGAGAAAAGGCTTGGTGACGTCTGCTCAGGGCCAGTTTGTGCCTAGTGATTGCACCCAGTTCCCACCTTCTGTGCAGAGAGCAGAGCCTTCTGGACTGGGAATGTCCAGGTGCGCCAAGGGTGCTCTGGACCCATGTGGTATATCTGGTTTAACCTGTGGAGATGGCCCTGCAAGGCCTCTTGGGGGTTGTGTCTAAGTGGGGGACCCAAATAGGGCAGGTGGGGTCACAGTGGCAGGAAATGCTGATGGAGGAAGAAGTGGGTGTCTGTTCTGGACTTCTAGGTGGGCTGGTGTCGGGATTCAGCAGAGAGAGGAAGAAAGGGGCATCCCCTCTGCAGAAGGGGGTACAGGCTGGCTGATGGGCAGGATGATGGGGTGTCACCAGAGAGGGCAGGGGGTCCTGATGTCCAGGGTCTAAAATGGCATCAGCAGGACATGGGCTTTCTGGGCCCTGAATGTTAAACCTGGTTCCACGGGGCAGTGCAAGTGCCTGACTAGGTCCAAGTCCGCATTGCCCTCTCTTCCTCCCTTCACCTGTCATCATGTGAGACATTGCTTGGGGGCTAGTAGCCCTCTCTTGGAAGCTCGGCCCAGAGTGAGCACTCACACTGAGAGGTACAAAAGACAGGAAGTTCACGTGTGTTCATGTTTCTGGAGCAGGGTCAGCAGCTGTGAGGTTCCCAAAAGGGAACGAGTGCTGGGGTGAGTGGTGGGAGACTTGGGAAAGTTTTGAGTGGTGAAAGGACAGAAACACATGGTGGAGAGGTCCCCATGCACCCAGGGAAGACAGGATGGAGAGGGTACTATGAAGGTCTGGTGGGCGAGGACAGGTGGGCTGTGGGCGTGGAGGGATGTGCTGGCAGAAGTGGCTCCTGGAGTTGACAGGAATGGTGTTGCCCATGCAGTGGCAGGTGGTTTGTCCTCTGCCTGCCCCATCCTGAATATTGTGTCTGTGACATCTGCACAGGTACTCTCCTACCTGGCAAGCCCCACACTTACCAGGCACACCCTACTCTTAGGTGCTTCTGTGTCATTCCCCCCAGTTAGGAGCCATGGTGAACAGTCTTACACCAACAGCCTGGGTTTTACTGCTCTCCCCCAGAGCAGGTGAGGGTGCTGGGCCTCTGAATCCCTCTGTCCCAGGGCCTGAGGCACTTTTTCCCTCCCCAGGCCCCTGAGCCCCTGAGCTCCCTGAAGTCCATGGCAGAACGGGCAGCTCTCAGCTCCGCAATTGAGGACCCAGTGCCAACGCTGCACCTGACTGAGCGAGGTGAGGGTCCAGGTGCAGTGGGGGTAGCTTAGGGAGGAAGGGTGCCCCACCCAATCTCATCCAAGGGCCTGCCCTTGCCTGTCCCTACAGACATCATCCTGAGCAGCACAGCAGCTCCTCCAGCCTCAGCACAGCCGCCCCTACAGCTTTCGGAAGTGAACATACCGTTGTCCCTGGGGGTGTGTCCACTGGGGCCTGTGCCCCTCACCAAGGAGCAGCTCTACCAGCAGGCCATGGAAGAGGCTGCCTGGCACCATATGCCCCACCCCTCAGACTCTGAGCGGATCAGGTGAGGGGCTGCAGGGAGGGGGACCAGAGTCTAGGGAAGAGGCTGCAGTGGAGATCTGGTTCCCCGGTCTTGAGACTATATAAAGCTTGCTGGGCACCTCACTTGGGGCTCTCCACAGTAGGTGGGGACTGAGGGGTTCAATGTTGGGATGATCAGGTGACCAAGATGCTCCCACTGATCCATGAGTGGTGGGGAGGCAGGGAGACCGAGGCCAGGCCAGGGGGTGGCCTTCCGCCACCCTTGATACAGGAGGGGCGGCAGGCACTGGCACTGGCACTAACAAACCCGGTCCCCCACAGACAGTACCTCCCCCGGAACCCCTGCCCGACGCCCCCCTACCACCACCAGATGCCACCCCCACACTCGGACACCGTGGAGTTCTACCAGCGCCTGTCCACTGAGACGCTCTTCTTCATCTTCTACTATCTGGAGGTACAGCAGGGCCCCCGGGGCAGCCTCGGGCCCCCCGGCTTCGCCGCCACCGCCGCCGTCCCCCCTCGGGCTGGAGGGGTGAGGTGGGTGCCCCACTGCGGCCACCGGGACCGCACCCCTCCCCATCCCCCAGTCCTGGGCCCCCTCAAACCAAACCTGTCCCTGTCCCCAGTTGAGCACAGGGGTATCAGAATGGCTGAGTTGCCCCACTTCCAGTGCCTGTCCTGTTTAGCTGTCCCTGCAGGCTGCTCACTAGCACTGGGGCAGCCTCTGTGTGACCCGGGCATCATGAATAACCTCTGCCCTCATCCCCCCTGGGAAACTTTCTAGGCTGCCTCCTCTGAGCACTCCTCATGCCTTAGCTTCTCTTCCTCTCAAAGCTTCTCTGGAAGCACTTCCCACCTCCCGTCTCACTTTCCTTCTGACCGGCACTGGTATGTTTTGTGCCCCTACCCAGCTCCAGTTGGAGAGTCTGGCCCATCCTCAGTCTGTGGCGGGGCCTGGGTCAGCCCTGATGCCCTGCCTGTCCCCCTTGTCCCTCCCACTTGGGGGGCCCCCTGATCCCCTGCTGTGCCCTTCCTCCCCCAGGGCACAAAGGCGCAGTACCTGGCAGCCAAGGCCCTGAAGAAGCAGTCGTGGCGGTTCCACACCAAGTACATGATGTGGTTCCAGAGGCATGAGGAGCCCAAGACCATCACTGATGAGTTTGAGCAGGTGAGGCCCCTCCCCAAGCCCTTCCCCCTTCCCCACCACTTTTAGCCAGCTCATCTGGGATCTGTCTTGTCATTCATCACTTATCCAACTCCTAGTAATCCCGTAGATCCTGGCCTAAATGTCCCTTCCTTGGGGGAGCCACCCACAGCCACACAGCCCGTGTGCCTGTCTGCTGGCACAGTGGGGTGTGTGGTGTCTCCCACCCAAGACCACACTGCACAGCAGAGGCCTTGACAGCCCCCTTCCTGCATGTCCTCAGAACTCGGCAAATATGATAGGGGAGCTGTTCTTTTTTAAGTGACCTTCTACAGTTCCAATTGTTTGATTGGACGAAGGACTACCTGGGTTTGAACCCACTTCTAGCTGGATGACCTTGGCAAGGCACGTAAACCTGTTGCCATTTCTGTTTTCTGTAAGAACGGGGTGACAGGACCCACCTTACACAGTTGTGAGGATTAAACAAGTTAATCACACATATGTACTTAATGGTGCGTGCCATGCAGTGCCACGGGCGTGTGGTATGTTGTTCAGAGTACTTTTAGTTGGTTCCACATTGCTTTTTCCACCAGTCATCTGCCTGATGCAAGCACTGAACAAGGTCCTTGTCCTCAGAGAACTCAGTCCACTCCCCTCGGTTCTTACAGGTTCTTTGAAGCATTTCAGCCGTTCAGAACCCAGCCCCATTCCCACTGTGCCTTCTCTGACACTACAGACCTCCCGTTCCCTCCTGGTTGGGCCCAAAGTAATCCGCCAAGTTAGTGTATTTCCAGGCACCACTCCTTCAAAAAGCCCCATACGCTGTCACCGTAAACGTCTGTCCCGTAGACAGCCTGTTCTGTCTCTAGCGGGGCCATGGCCTCGAGGGGTTGGTGAAGATGCAGTGCTAGCACACGTCACTACTCGGCACCTGAGCCGTGCTCTAAAGCCACAGCCATCCTGAGAAGCACGAGAACTTCACAGACGTGCCCGGGCCTCGGCCCAGCTCTGGCACGTGACCTCTGCACCTCTCTCAGTTTCCACCAAAGCGGGTGTGATAACCTTTCCTACCTGAGAAGAGCAAGGCCAGGGCGGAGTGAGACGGCGCACACATGCAGGGCCTGGTGCCTGGCACCTGGCACACCCATGGCCCTAAGAACAGTCCCCTTTGTCTATCGATTGGGCCCAGCACCTCCTCGTCCACTCACTGACCGCCTTCTCCCCCGGCCAGGGCACCTACATCTACTTTGACTACGAGAAGTGGGGCCAGCGGAAGAAGGAAGGCTTCACCTTTGAGTACCGCTACCTGGAGGACCGGGACCTCCAGTGACACCGGCCCCTCCCTTCACCCTCCCCTCCCCCAGCATGCTGATCCCCTGCCCAGGTGAGGGCTCTGCCCTGGAAGATGGGGAGGCCCCAGGCCATGGGGCAGCCCCCTCCCCCAGGAAGCAAGGAGGGGCCGGGAGGTTTTCTCTTCCTCTCAGCCCCACCCTGGGGGCCTGGGGGCAAGGGCTGCCCCCCCTCCCCTCTCCAGTGAGGGACATTTTTTGGTAAACCTATTTTCATTTTGGAAAATATTTATGAATAAATAGTTTTATATGACGGCTGGCAGCAGCAGCCTCTCCTATACCCCTCAGGAGTCAGTGAGCCAGAGGAGGGTCCTGCCAGCGGGGGCGCCGGGCCAGCTGGGGGTTGAACTGGGAGTTGTACCGCCTCCGCCGATCATCTGCCTCTTCTGGCTGCTCCTCCTGGGGTGCCCCCCCTCGGACCCTTGCCAGTAGGGCCTCCGCCCGTGCCCGCTCAGCCGCTTCCCTCCGAAGGCGTTCAGCTCGAAGCTGGTCCAGGGATGGGGACCTGGGGAAAGAAGAGTCAGGTTAGAAAGCTGGTAGCCCTGGGAGGCCCCAGCCTCCCGAGAGGGAGCTGCCACCTGGACCCCCTGCCTGCATCTGACATGCTCCTGGCCTTGGTGCCTGGAGCCCCTGGGACCAGGAAGCTGGCCTCAGGCCAGGGGCAAAGATCTGCACCTCCCTTTCTGGTCCCAGTCTCAACAATCAGGTGCACCTTCAGATTAAGAAAGCCCGCTGTTAATCAGCTGTGTGGCACTGAGCACACACTGGGCCTCTCTTGGCTTCAGTTTCCCCTTCTGTAGGAGGATGCTGGTCAGTACTACTCTTCTATGCTTGGGTCTGCCGTCTTAACTCCATGGTTCTCAAACTCTGGTCTCTCAAAACTCCAGGACCCCGCAGAGCTTCCATGTCGGTGGGTTTTATGTTAACATTCAGCACATTAGAAGTGAAAACAGATCTTGGAAACAAGTGTATGTCCCCCTAGCCATCCGAGCAGCAGAACCTTCCCACGTCTCCAAAACCTCCGTTGCAACTTGAGGATGGATATGAATAGCTAAAAGGTGTTGCTATGGGCTTGACCTTGCCAAGTTCCTGAAGGGGTGTCAGGACCCCAGGGTCACTGAGAACCATGTCTCTGCCCAGCCAGCCCATCCCAGTTCCACCTCTGCGCCCACTCGGGCTTCCTCCTCACTCTTTGGGCCGCTGTTTCTCAGACGCCTCTTCCTTTCTGCTGTGTCTGCCATGGTCACCACTGTGCCTTCTCTTCTTCCCCAAATGCTTCTGCATCTCCAGCAGAGGGTCCAGACGGTTCTTGATCTTCACATCTGGTCCTGGGCCGGGTGGGGGGGCCCTTCGATCCGGAGGCAGCTGGTACCAAGGGGGCTGAGTCTGGGCTTCTGCTGCACTCTGGCCCAGGTATGTCAGGATGCCCAGAGCTTTCTCCTGCCTCTCCTGAGGGGGACAGGAAACATGGAAGGTTGTCAAGTTTGTCTCCCCTCAGGGAGCCCTGGGTGTGACAACGGACACCATGGCTGGGAAGCCATTCATCCAACAAGTACTGAGGGCCTGTCATGAACCAGCTCTGCCAGACACTGGGGACACAGGAGGCCAACACACATAGGGGTCTGCACTGGGGTGCGGTGGTGGCTCTAACAGAAAGCATGGGGGGAGAGTTACTTTAGGATTCAAAAGGCAGGCATCTTTGGGGATATAAAAATCTGATAAAAGCCAAGCAAGGCTGAGAAGTGATTGAGGTAGGGGGAGGGCAAATTCACCTGAGGGCAGGTTAGTGACAGGATCTGATTTACATTTTACAAAGCTCCTACACCCTTCCCAGACCCCTCCCCTAGGGTCTTGATATCAGGTTAAAGAACTGATGGGTCTGTACCTGCAGCCTCAGAGTTGGGGTGGGGGAGGCTCCAGCTTCCACTTCTAGGCCCCTGCAGGCCCAGATGGCTGTAACCAGCACTTGAGAGCTGTTCTGGGTATAGACTCACTTAATCCCCACCTGTTCTCTAAGCTCCTGTTGGCGCCTGAGGGCAGAGTGCTCCCTCCACCCAGGTACATCCGAGACTGAGGAAGCCTGCTAGAGGGGCTTACTTTCTCCTGGCGCTTTTCTTCCTCGTACTCTTTGTTGCTTCTGGTCACCCCTTTCCCTTCCTCCAGCAGCTCCCGAAACAGGTCCACGGGGCCAGAACTCGGGGCTCCTGTGTCTGCTGCTTCGAGCTCAGGTAGTGAGTTCTGATGCCTGGCTTTTTTCCGTAGGAATTCTGTGCGGGCCTGGGGGAAAAGAAAGTTATAGGCAAAACATTCAGAACCTTGTGATCCAAGGAATCGTGAATCTGGTATCAGCCACAGAGAACTGCATGGTGCTAGGAAGGAAGGAGGGACACTGGGAACCCAGAAGAGGCACCTGTCCCAGCCTGGGGGTAGAGAGGGGAAATGAGGTGCTGCCGGGGTTGGTAAGGCGCCTTTCAAACAACATACCAGAGGGTTTCCCAGTCGGTGACACAACAGACAACTATGAAGGCAGCCAAAACATGTATCGGGACCGGTGATCTAAGTTCTAGGCAAGGCTCCAAGTCACTACCCCAGTTGAATTTTTGTTTATTGTTTGTTTCTTGTTTTAGAGAGGGAGAGATACCTTGATTTGTTGTTCCACTTATTTATGCATTCACTGGTTGCTGCTTGTATGTGCCCTGACAAGGGATCGAACCCACAACCTTGGCATATAGGGGACAATGCTGAAAACAACTGAACTACCCAGCCAGGGCCCCCAGTCGAATTTCACTCTACTGAAATGTGAATTTAAAAAGCCCAGACTACCTCCCAGCCAGTGCCGAGGACCAGATTAGCTAGCTAAAGGACTGACCGCCAGGTGTAGACCAAACAGGTGAGGAGAGCGTCTGATGCGCGTGTGTGGACGGGGCAGTGCAAAGCGCTCCCCCACCGAGCGGCCTTGGCTTGTGCCCCGTCACTCCACTGCGGCGTCCTCTCTGAAGCCATCTCTCTCCTCTGCACCACGGGGCCGAGTGACAGCGCCCCTCTAACAACGAACGGTGCCGGAGGGGCGTCGCGAGTCAAGCGCTCCGCGGGGCGAGCATCCAGTAGGCGCTCAATACATACACTGCGCAAGCAAACTACAAAGTGGTCCGAGCTTCCTAGGACTGCCCAGGGGCTCCTTTATTCATAAGCTCCCACTCTGCCAGGCACCGCTCTGGCCTCGCGAAGAACAGAAGCGGAAGAAACGAGGTCCAGGGAGGTTCCGCGGTGACCGTCACTCGGGCGCATTCGGCTGGGCACCTAATTCCGCGCAGGACGCACTGCGCCTGCGCGCCGCCCCACTTCCGGGGCGCCTGCGCGCTGGGTCCAGGAGCACCGCCCGGCCGCTTTCGGAGCCTACCTCTTGCTGAGCGAGCAGCACCCTCCGCTCACGCTCTTTCTCCTCCTCCCGGGCCTGGGCCTCGTCACGTCGCACGCGGGCGACATTGTCCTTGTTCCGGACGTGCCAGCTCTTCTTGGGCAAGATGTTCATGGCGCCGTGACGTCCACAGACTGGCAGACCCGCCCCCTAGCACTTCCGATTGGAGACAGGAAGCCCCTCCCTGTTATTCCCGCCCCGGCCACGGATTGGTCCTGGACTAATTGACCCAACGCGTCGAATCACGCGTGGCGTCTCCTAGCGACCGCCTCGCATCAACGTTCTGAGCCAATCCCGGTGTCTCCACTCCAACGCGAACCGGACGTGGCCTCTGATTGGCTGGCACGCCCGCCAGGTCCTCTCGGCAAGTTTCAAAAAGCGCTCAGAGGACTGCGCCGTGTTTATTGATACAAGAATGAGGTTCACTAGACAGTCAGGGGGTCCGGGGCCCTGGAAATCTCAGAATCGCAGGCTGGAAGGAAGTACAGTCTTCTCCAGTCCTCCCATTTTACGGATGACGTGGCCCATGGCTTACAAAGGGTTTGGGGCGGATCTGGGTTTGAGAGTGGGGCGTCACCCTGAGCCAGGCTAGGGAGCTCAAAGAGCCCCGCGGGCCGAGCTCAGGGCCACAGCGCGCTGTGCCAGGAAGACTTTATTCTGTGCCTCCTGCGGTAAAGGGCAAAGAGAGGTAGAGGTGAGAGAGACCTTCCCTTCCCTCGTGTAATTTTCCATGTTCCCCAGGACCCCTTCCCTGGCTCACCGTCTCTATCTGCCGTTTGAGCTCAGATATGAGGCGTCCATAGGAGTTAGCCAGGGCCAGGGTATACGCCATCAGGATGCTAGAGGGTACAGGAATAAAAGCCACTCCCCAAAGGCTCTTAGAATAGCCTCATTGTATGGGTCATTAGAAACCAGAGGTCTGGACCCAGGAGTCCAGGCCACAGCTCCCTCCTTTCTTCAGATCCAGGAGTTTAGGGCCCCAGCCCCCC